GAGGTGTAATTGTCTCATGGAGGAAAAACATGAAAACCCCTTTCCATCCATGTAGAGACAATCCTATATTAAGGATCTGAACTATCTGCTGTCATGAGGCTATATACTGAGGAAGTAAATGAGACAGAAGCACCTTTAATGCCAGATTAAAGGGTCAGATTGAAAGTTCTTGATATGGCTTGATACCAGTGCTGTTAGTGGTGGACCTCCACCATCATATGGCCTTTTATAATATTCTAGACCAGTTTCTCTGCACATATCTTTCCTTGCATCCTGAAAACATGAGGGACAGTGCTGTGCAGATCAGATGCCAGAACCAGAGCCCAGCAGATCTGGATGCCTGCAAAGGAACAGAAGCTACAGTCCAGGAGGATGCACAGGATCTCAATAAAATATCTTCAACTCAAAAGAGAGCTGAGGAAACCCAACAAATGAGGGCAAATAATTCAGGATGTCAGCAACATAGCTCCCAAGACTGAGAACTTTGAGGACCCCTTCAAACACACACCCATGTTTAGGTGACTGATCTCAGGCAAATGCATGCAAATACAGATGTGTTGGGAGGTCATCTTGAAATTCTGAGCTGAAACCCACCTTCATGTTCTCCTTGTCACTTGGAGTTGAGATGAGTATAAGGTCTTAATATTTCATGATTTCTGTCACATCAGCATTGTCAGCCTAATAGGGACAATGCAGCTCCAGACATTAGTCTCTAAAGTTGTCTAGACCTTATACAGCTTACCGCATAATCAAGGAGCCTCCATTATAGCCTAGTTCTGGGATGAGATGGGTGCTTCAAGAGAGATTTCACATTAGGATATGGTACAAGTATGGTCAGAGTTTTAAAATAAGCCACATAAATCCACTTATTCAGAATGATGGCATTTTAATTCAGGTTCAGAAAGAGCCCAAAGCCTAAGAGTACATGTTCAGTTCATGGCTACAGTTCTCAAATTTCACAGAAGGGGCAGATTCTGCCAATCATCACTCCTAAGTGCCTGCCTTCCTCCACACCAATAAAACCCTTAAAGCAGTAACTTGAGAATTGTCAAGATTTGTTGAAGATTTTTTGAAGTCCTTCCTCCCTCTTCTGTCCTGAACCCACCCCTTAATAAGCAACCAGGGAACAGAACCAAGCTTCATTCAACTTGATGTTCCTGAAGTGTGGACCTATGTGTTATCAGTTCAGAATAGCTAACCTTTAAAGAAAAGCTGGCTGCAGCCTCAGATGCCCCAGTGTCCTCACATAGAGTCACAGTATATTATCATGACTATTCTTGATGACAGAATAACCAGGTAGAAATTTGATAAGGAAATTCCAGAAGAAAATCCAAAAAGAAAAAGATCAAAAAACTACTGACTGCCTTTTTAGAATGGATTTTTTTCTACTATTACCAATTTTCTAATGTCTGAAAATTTGACCTAGATTGAGAAACAGAGAAGACCAGTCTTGTGCCATCAGAGCAAGGAACTTTATGGTGTCTTCTGAGTCTGGGTATAAGGCACTACTAGCAAGGCTATCTGGGATAGACCACTGCCTTCTACATACTTTATATTGCTAACTTTGACACTTCTCATGACATGGGTGAACATTTAGCAACACATTTACTTTTGCAGATTATTTGCAAGTTTTCACCAGAGATATCACTTCTAGGACCTTCTCCAAGGATGCGGGGATATCTCTGAGCACCTCCATGAAGTTACTCCTTGCCTATTCATCAAAGCATAATGAAAATGAGGCCCAACCAGCTGCCACCTCAGCAGATGAGACACATCTGCAGTGTGTCAGCCAATACCGTTTCTGCAGAAATAGCCAGAAGCAGACAGTTAATGTGTGAAGTGACCAAACAATCAGAAGCTCACCTGGACAAACCAATTGTCTTTGGGGAACAGGTGAATACCCAGCATAAGGTTGCCAATAGTTCTCTTGGAGAGAATTAGTAGTTCCAATAAACCAAGTGGCTGGGGCAATCAGTGCCCTGTAAATTTTTTTTTTTTTTTTTTTTTTACCATTCTCTGAGTCCTGAGAGATCTTGATAATAGCTGAGAGAGCTGGTAGCTCATTCCTCTAAACCTTTTAAGATAACTATTCCTTATAGGGTGATATTTGATGGGAAAGGAAAAGAAAGATCTACTCATCAAGGAGGGGATGATGGAGTCAATAGGAGCTCTGGTAGCATAGTGCCTAAGGCACTTGACTGCTAACCAGAAGGCTGGCGGTTCAAACCCACCAGCCACTCCTCAGAAGGAAGGTTGGGCAATCCTACTTCCGTAGTGATACTGCCTCGGAAACCCAAGGAGGGGTCGCTATGAGTCGGGGCTGACTCGAGGGCAAATAACAACAACAACAACAAGTCATTTAAATACAGTATGTCCCCCAGTTAACCAACATCAAGCTTAAGGACAGCTAGTATTTGCACTTTAATGTTATGTAAATTTGACCTTAAATAGACTACATCTGTGGAAAGAAGATGGAGAAGCTCAATATCATCAGTCAGAACAAGGCCAGGGGCTAACTATAAAACAGACCATCAATTGCTCATATGCAAGTTCAAGTTGAAGCTGAAGAAAATTAAAGTCCACCAGAGTCAATGTACAACCTTGAGTATATTCTACCTGAATTTAGAGACCTTCTCAAGAATAGATTTGGTTCATTGAACACTAATGACCAAAGACCAGACAAAGTTGTGGAATGACATCAAGGGCATTGATGAAGAAAGCAAAAGGTCATTTAAAAGGCAAGGAAGAAAGAAAAGACCAAAATGGATATCGGAAGTGACTCTAAAACATCCTCATGAATGTAGAGTAGCTAAAGCAAAAGGAAGAAGAGATGAAGGAGAGCTGAACAGGTTTCAAAGGGTGGCTCAAGAAGACAAAGTAAAGTATTGTAATGAAATGTGCAAAACCTGGAGTTAGAAAACCAAAAGAGCTTTTGGTGGCTGCAAGTTCCAGGAAATCCCAGCCAGAGCACAATCATCAGACCTCAAAAAAAAAAAAAAAAGAAGAAGAAGAAGAAATACTCAGCATTTGTCAAGCTGAAAAACTGAAGAAAAAAAATATCAGCCTGAAATTTCAATATTGAAGCATTGTATGGGCAAAATATTGAATGACACAATAAACATCAAAAGAACATGGACAGAATACACAGATTAAATGTACCAAAAAGAGTTGATCAACATTCCACCATTTTGGGAGATAGCATATGATCAAGAACTGAAGATACTGAAGAAAGAAGTCCGGAGTGCATTGAAGGCATTAGCAAAAAATAAAGTCTAGGAACAGAATACCAACTGAGATTTTTCAGTAAAAGAATGCAACACTGGAAGTGCTCTATGCCAAGAAATTTGGAACACAGCTACCTGGACAACTGACTGGAAGAGTTCCATATTTTTGCCCATTCTTAAAGAAAAGGGATCCAACAGAATGTGGAAATTACCAAATAATATCATTAATACCACACACAAGTAAAATTTTACTGAAGGTAATTTAAAAATGGTTACAGAGGTGCATTGAGAGGCAACTGCCAGAAATTCATGCCAGATTCAAAAAAGGATATGGAACAAAGGATATTATTGCTGATTTCAGATGGATCTTGGCTGAAAGCAGAGAATACCAGAAAGATGTTTATCTGTTTTTTATTGACTATGAAATAGCATTGACTGTATGGATCTTAAAAAACTATGGCTAACTTTGCAAAGAATGGGATTTCCAGAGCACTTAATTGTGCTCATGAGGCAGTTGTTCAGACAGAACAAGGGAATATTGTGTAGTTTAAAATCAGAAAAAGGTATGTGTCAGGATTGTTTCCTTTCACCATATTTATTCAATCTATATGGTGAGCAAAGAATCTGAGAAGCTGGACTGTATGAAGAATGTGGCATCAGGATTTGAGGAAGACTCAGTAACAACTTGTGATATGCAGATGACACAACCTTGCTTGCTGAAAGCAAAGAGGACTTGAATCACTTACTGATGAACATCAAAGACTACAGTCTTCAGTATGGATTATACTTCAACATAAAGAAAACAAATATCCTCACAACTGGCCCAATAAGCAACATAAGGCTAAATGGAGAAAAGATTGAAGTTGTCAAAAGATTCACTTTACTGGGATCCAGTTAATATCCACGGAAACAGCAGTCAAATCAAGCATCAGTCAATGTCCTGAGTGCATTGTGTGTGTGAACTGTATGGAAGATGAATTTGCTTTGTAAACTTTTCACCCAAATCACAATAAAATTAAAAAAAAAAAAAAGTAGGGATGTATGGGAATTGTTTTAGAAGTCCCTCCCCCCAATGGTGAAAATAAAATAAAACTTTAGCTGTCAAAAATGTAAAAAAGAAGAAAGAAATCGAGCAATGTATTACATTGGGCAGATTTGCTGCAAAAGACCTCTTTAAAGTGTTGAAAAGCAAAAATGTCACTTTGAGGACTAAGGTGTGCCTGACTCAAAACATGGTGTTTTCAGTCACCTCATACACAAGCAAAAACTAGACAATGAATAAGGAAGACTGAAGAAGAACTGATGCATTTGAATTATGGTGTTGGCCAAGAATATTGAATATATCATGCACTGCCAGAAGAATGAACAAATCCGTCTTGGGAGTTATGCAGCCAGAATGTTCCTTAGAAGCAAGGATGGTATAACTTCATCTCACAGGCTTTGGTCATGTTATCAGGAGGGACCTGTCCCAGGAGAATAAACACCATGCTTGATAAGGTAGAGAGTTAGGAAAAAAGAGGAAGATCCTCAATGGAGATAGAGTGACACAGTGGCTGCAGCAGTGGGCTCAAGCATAGAATGATTGTGAGGATGGCACAGAACTGGGCAGTTTTTCATTCTTTTGTAAATAGGGTTGCTATGAGTTGGAACCAACTCCACAGCACCTAACAACAACATAATAATTTAAATACTTCTCTAATTACTGTAATTTGGGTATGTTGAGGTGACCATCATTAGAGTAACCTTCTGAAGCTAATCTCATGTGTCTGTTCCCAGATTCCCCTGAAGGCTGAAGTTTATGGTCTAGAGGGAAACATTTTCAGACTTAAAATCAATGAAGAGGCTCCCCTGAAGCCCAGGTATGAAGTTCCTGATGTCCTCACAAGCACACCAAGCACTATAAGGTAAGCTTATGAAGCATCTTAGATCTACTCTCAATGTGTACTTTTATTATGCTTCAAGCAGTAGATTTTGTATGTGTCTCATATTTTGTCTGTTCAAAGCTACAATCATTTGCAGAATTCGTTTTCAGTTATTTAGGTAGCAGTTTACTTATTTTGTGTGTTTTATGTTCTATTTTCTCTTCATCCACCATTTGACTCATCAGAACTTTTGACCTCTACTCTCCTTCTCCCAAAGAAAGCAGTTTATCAGCTAGGTTATAGGAGCTAGTAAAAGGAGAGCTACTTAATTTACTCACTCAAACTAGCAGCAGGGCTCCAGAGATCTAATACAGTAGCCAGATTACCATGCTTCCAATAATTTATACAGTTGGACTGACTCACTTTTAATTAAGGGTAGTCTCAGAAGTCTAACAGATGAAATATTACTTACAGTCAGAGATAATATCAGTGTCTAAGTGAAAGTAAAACCTTTGGGGGCTAAAGCATTTTTCAGATACCTGCAAAAACCTCACCATTTCTCAATCTACTTTTCAGTGATATTTCAAATCAGTTTTGCCTGTTGATTTCTGTTACTTTTTAATATTATTTTACTAAGGGAATATTGACTGCTAACCAGAAGGCTGGTGGTTCAAACCCACCAAGCCACTCCTCAGAAGGAAGGTTGGGAGATCTACTTCTGTAGTGAAACTGCCTTGGAAACCCAAGAAGGGGTCACTATGAGTCAGATCCAACTTGACGGCAGTGAGTTTAAGGGAATATATGGTTATGCCAGATGCTTTAATTTTCACTACATTATTATCATGATTTTATATAGATTATTTTTCCATGAAAAGCTAATGAAAGGTTAATAGATTATGAGGGAAAATTTATTCCATTTGTTAGAATGATCATAAATTTGATCTGCTACTATATGCCAAGAACTTAGGAAACAGAGGAATTAAAAAGAGACTGTTCTCAGCAAGAAAAAGACAACACAATTAATATGTGGGTGAGAGATTTGAATAGACAAAAAAGATATTCCGATCACTAGTAAGCACATGAAAAGATGTTCAACACCCTCTTGCTTTAGGGCAATGAAAACCAAAACCACAATGAGCTAACACATCACTCCTATTAGGATGGCTATTTTCAGAAAAATGGAAAACAGCAAGTGTTGACAAGGATGCGGAGAAATGGGAACCTTCAACCACTGTTGATGGGATTGTAAAATGGTGCAGCTGCTATGGAACAGTTTGGTGATTCCTCAAAAAATTAAAAATTGAATTGCCATATGACCCAGCAGTTCTTCTCCTAGGTATATATTGAAAAGACTTGAATAAAGGGATGCAAACCTGTTGCTGTCAAGTCAATTGCAACTCATAGGACAGAGTAGAACTGCCTCATAGGGCTCCCAAGGCTATAAGTCTTTACAGAAGCAGACCGCCACATCTTTCTCCTGTAGCTAGTGGTTCAAACCGCTGACCTTTCACAGCCAAATGCTTAACCATTGCATCACCAGGGCTCCTCAGGGATGTAAACAGATACTTGTATGCCCAAGTTCATTGCAGCACTGTTCACAAGAGCCAAAAGGTGGAAATAATTTAAATGTCCACCAACAGATGAATGGATAAAGAAACTGTGGAATATGCATACAATGGAACATTACTCAGCCGTAAGGATAAATGAAATTCTGATACGTACTATGGCATGCATGAACCTTGAAAACATGCTGAATGAAATAAGTAAGGCACAAAAAGACAAATATTTATGATCCTACTTGCATGAAATATCTAGAATGGGCAAATGCATAGAGACTAAAGCTTGTTAGTGGTTACCAGGGTCAGGAAGGAGTCAAAAAGGGGTAGTTACTGGTTAAAGCTAAAGCCAATGGAAGAAATGACAAAATAAAAGAGCTGAACAGAAGATTTCAAAGAGCAGCTCGAGCAGACAAAACCAATTACTATAATGAAATGTTCAAAGACCTGGAGTTTGAAAACCAAAAGGGAAGAACATGCTCAGCATTTCTCAAGCTGAAAGAATTGAAGAAAAAATTGAAGCCTCGAGT